GTCTTGAGGGACGAAGGGGGATCCCGAGGGTCGAAGAGGGTCCCGAGGGGACGAAGGAGGGTCCCGAGGGCATTAAGGGGGTCTCGAGGGGACCAAGGGGTCCCCCGAGGCTGGGGAGGCCGCAGGTCCGTGCCAGGCTGGGGGTGGCCGTGGGCTCGGGGGTCTCCGAGGCGCCGGGCTGGGCCCAGGGGTGTCGCTTGGGGCGCTGCAGGGGGCCAGGGACACCCGGGGGGACAGGGACACCCGGAGGGGCTGCAGGGAGATGGGGACACCCGAGGGGACAGGGACCCCCGGGGGGCAGAGGGGCCGGGGCTCCCGTGCTCCCCGTTTCCCTGCGGTTGGTTTGGACTCACCAGCCCTTTCGGAAGGGGGTTTTGGGGATGCTGCTGGCGCCCGTCAGGGGCGCGGGAAGCAGAACGTCCCTCCGGCTCCGGCCCGGAGCACGGGGCCATCCTCGGCACGGACGTTGCGGGTGTCGATGTTTGCTGAGTGGACTCGGGTCTTTCGGGCTTTTTGGGGTTTCTGGTTGAGCTGCGCTGCCGTCAGCCCGTACCTGGGCTAACCCAGCGCCGGTGCCGCCCTTATGGACTCGCGTGGTGACTGGGATCAGAAATTCGGCTTCCGAGTCGATTCTTGGCTTGTGGTTTAGGTTTGTTCTCGCACGTGGCTTGGGGCTGCCAAGGTCTCGGGCCGTGTGACGGTTCAGGCTCATCGAGGCCTGTTGGGCGCCACTTGTGAGGAATGGGTTTTTCTCCTGGCTCGGTTTAGGAAGCTTTCTGCAGCTTTGAATATCGGGAAAACACGTCGGGCCGTTCGCGGGACAGGGAGCAGAGCGGGAACCGCGGGCTGTGGTTCCGCAGGGCGACCCGAAATCCTCCGGCAGTCGGAACCTGCAGACGGGGCGGCAGAAAAACGAGCGCTCCCGGGTCGGCCTGGCCAGAGCACATCCCAGATGGAAACCGTCCAACGCGGGCCTGGTCCTGTGCAAAAACACCCTCCTGCCTGGGGATAATGCCCCGTCCGGAGCGCGGTGCCGTTCCGAGCAGGAAAACCAGAGCCGTGTGCGTCGAGCTCGCTCGGGAGGTTCAGCTCTCCTCCTGCCAGAGCCCTGTTAGTCCCAGGGCTGCAGCTGGGCGGACAAGGGATGCGCGGCAAAACACAGCGAAAAAGCACTGGGAAAAAAGCAAAGTTCTGCAGCAGCCCCGTAAGAATTGGGTAGAGCAAGAAGGGAAGATGCTCGTTGCTTTAGACTCTTCCTGTGCTATAAAATGTTTGTGTGTCCGTAGTCTTCTGAGCTGCGGGGTATTTTGCTTAAGAAAAGAGTTTCAAACAAATAGATTCACAAAGAAGAGAGAAAGAGCTTCACATCTGTGTTTAATATTTGTAACCGAAGGCAGACCTGCTGTCCGCTGCTAGCTTAGTTGTTTTAAACACAGAGGGGGAAAATACAGTGTGAGTAAGCGCTGTAAACACAGGGAGCATTGGTGAAATAAATGATTTGTGGAAAGCGCGCTGTAAAAGCAGCGGCCGCTCGTGCTGAGCCCTGCAACGTGGAGCTGCGGGGAGCGCTGAGCCAGGGAAGGCGGCGGACGCGGCGCAGGAACGAGGCCGGAGCCGCCTCGGAGCCGGCCCGCGCGGGCTCCCTCCGCCCAGCACTCGCCCAAGGCTCCGCTCGCTGCCTCCGGCTGAACCAAACACAGAAACGTTGTCCCCCGCCGGTCCCCAGGGCGCCCGGGCTGTAGCTGCCCCTTTGCCAGCCGGGAAGGACCCGGCTCGTGGGGCTGGCGGCTCCGGAGAGCGGGTCGGCCTGGCTGGACCCTCCCAGGGAGCCGCCGAGGGCTGCGTCCTCCAGGCAGGAGGGATCAAAACAGACCTCTTAGTTTACGGGTTTCCATGCGCACTTGGGTCGTTAGAACACTTTGGATTTGGTAGCATAACCACACCATTGATCAACTTTCCTTAAAGCATTTTGCGACTTCTTTCATTTTGGGGGGAAAACCTGCATTCCTTTCTATGTTTTGTTTGCTGTGGCTTGGTTTTAGCGGCCGGGTTCCGACACCCCTCCCCCGCTGCTGGGGTTCCCCATGGACCTCTTCCACCCGCTGCAGCCTGCAGAACGGCGCTTCGGGATGTGCCGTTTGGGTCGGAACCCCCTGCAGCGACCGCCCTTTCCGTGGGCGCTCGGGGCCGCTCCGAGGATCCGCTCCCGCGTTATCCCGCCAGCCGCTCCGTGCTGGGATGCCAGGGCCGTCCCGCGGGAGGCTGCCTCCGGAGGCCACATTCCCACCGCCGCCTTCCAGCCCGTTCTATTCCGGGCCGGATTGTTGGCTCCATTGTGCCGGTGCTCGCCCGTTTCTATTCGGTTACCAACGAGGATCCTTCGGTTCCCGGCCTGCTCCTGCCTATCTCCACTGGCCTCAGTTAGACACAGCGCGTGCTCCGCATGAGC